GGACTAGGGGTCAGGTAGCTGGCCTGATATTCACCTCTGAGTAGGAGGGCTGGCTCCTGGCGGCATCTACCAGTTATCTCAAGTTCACACCTTGTAACCCCAAATGTTCCTTCATCCATCACTAGCCATTGTCTGGGATCCTCTCCTCCTCCCCCACTACCCCCTGCCAGATGATTTCTTGTTAATAAACCAGTTTGTTCACAGCCTGAAAACTATCTGATTCTGTCCCCCTTTTATCCCAACTACCATCCATCCATCAATTGCTTGCTACACAGGCTTGGCTAGGAAAATGGAAATGGGGGGGAGTGAGAAGACAAATAATAGATAAAACTTCCTAGCTGCTATCTTAAAGAGAATGGATGAATACATCTGTCAGACATGTATCATGCCTCTGAACAGCCAAGTCCATTTGTTCAAAACAGGTAAGGATGCACAGATTTGTGACACATTTTAAGCTGTTCATATAGAAGGAAAACATATTTTCCTTATCTCCCCCCGGGGAATGAGGGAAGGCTGAGGCCAAGAACAAGGAATTTTGGATCCATGAGATGGACTTTCCCTCATTGAGGTGGAAAGGATGGTCTCTCTCTCTCTCTCTCTCTCTCTGTCTCTCTCTCTCTCCTAAGGTACCAGTAGGGATGTTATAGGCTGTGTATCCCCTCATGCCACAGGATGGTGGCAACATCCAGGAATCTGAGCAAGGTATTCTAAGGTATTATTCATGAGCTTCTCTGTCACAAGTTGTAGAACAGCAAGGTCATTCTAGTGTCTTTTGCTCTAACAGAGAGGGTTAAAGGAGAGAGAACATGTTCAATAATCATGAGCTCAAACTTAAAGCTTCCATGTGCCAAGCACGGTGCTAGGAGCTGGGGCTACCAAGGCAATTAGAAACGCCCTTGTGCCTTGCAAGAAGTCACGGGGCAAGGGAGAGAGAGAGACTAGCAGGTTGCAGTGATGGAGCATGCCAGCACAGCAGTAGCACAGGCTTGGCACTTGCGCTGTTGCCCTGAAGCATGTTGATGAGGAGATGAGAGAAGTTGAGAGGTGAAGATGCAGAAGCCAGTGCTTCCAGAAGTATGTACAGAGGATTGGAAGGCACCAACGGCCCAACCTATCTGAGGAACTAAATGGGAAGCAGTTCTTTGATGCAACAACATGGAGTCTTTGCTAAGGTGAAATAACGTTCTAGGTTGTTGGAGGAGGGCAATCTACCGATGAGAAGACTTGAGTATTAATGAGAAGAGACTCGTTGCCACAGTTCAGACTGCTTTAACAAAACACCACAGGCTGAGTTAGTTCAACAATTTATTTCCCACCATTCTGGAGGTTGACAGTCTATGACCAAGGTGCTGACTGGTTCAGTGCCTGGTGAGGTCACTCTTGCTGGCTTGCTGACCGCTGTCCTCTTCCTGTGCCATCTAGTGGTCAACTGCAGTGAGGAAGAAGGTTCTCTGGTGTCTCTTTTCATAGCGGCAATCGTCTGGTCTTGAGGTCAAAAGGGTTCCATCATCCTGAGCTAAGCATCTGCCAAAGTCCTCACCTCCTGGTATCATCCCAAGAAGGGTGAGATTTCAATACAGGAATTTTGGATGAATACACGCTGAGAAAAAAAGAGTAAGAAATCTATCTGACCACAGGAAGTGGTAAATGCTATGCAATAAAGGTAAACAAACAAAAGAATATGCCTCATTGCATAGAGAGCATGAGAAGACTTTGGAAGGTGACATCTGAGCAGACAAAGGAAAACATGATATGAGCTTCAGCTGAGCCCATTTAGGGAGTGAACATTTCAGGCAGGGGAGATGGCAGGCACCCAGGTCCTGAGTCAGAGAAGGGCTGGGCTGATGTGAGAAAGAGGAAGGCCAGTGGCTGGAGCAGCATGACTAAGCAAAGGATTATGGGGAGTGAAATCAGAGAGAAAGACAACAGCTAATCAGAGAGAGCTCTGTCCATCATGTCAAGAACCACAGTTTTTTTTTTTTAATAATTGATTTAAAAGATAAGAAAGGAAAGATTAAGATGGAGTCACGCATTGACTTCAGCTCAAAGAAGACTCTGGAACTCTGGTATGAACACTTCAGTCTTTATGACAATAGCTATCGGCTATTGTACCCCAAGAGCACCTCAGGGGAAAAAGTTTGAGATTGCAGAAAAGCTTTCTGTGGGGTTCTCCCAGGAACAAGCAGAGGCTGTTATCAGGACAGGCCCAGTGACTTTTGTACCCTCCGACCCCCCATATAGCTCATGATCTCTCAACTCTGTGGCTTTGTGCATGACATTTACTTAATTGGGTTTTCTATTCATTCATTCACTTTGGCTGCCCTTCTTCCTCCAGGCTGTCCTCCCTGTTCCTGGCTGAACTCTCACCAACACCGCTGTTTCCTCTACCAGACCCCGCATTCCTCCGTGGTAGGGAACTTGGTCACAGTCAGGCTGAAGCCTGCAGCCCTGGCTGTGGCACCAGAGACCACCAGCACACAGGCTTCCCATTTCTGAACTGAAGAGAAAGCTGCTGACACGTTCTTTCGGAGAGAGAAACTCCTTCTGAAGTCTGCAATGCAACCCCACTACCCCCAGCACACTCTCCGAGTGCTGCAGCTTCTCTGCTGTCGCTCATTTCTGCGATGTGGCTTTTGAAGCCTACCCTTTCTCTCTGTCCATTTTCTCCACCCTAAAGGCATTTTGTTCATAAGAGATTCATTGAGTGCTCAGCCCTTTAGATCTCCTTCTCTCTCAAAGAGAAAAAAGGGAGAAAAAGCCTTCTTCTTATTGCTTTTCATTCTGTCATTAATTTACTTTTCAAAAGACAACTTGTCAAGGGGAGAGAATATCTTTAAGCCATGTGTTTACACCCACTGTCTATAAAACTGCAGATTATAGATCTCCCTAAAGGACCTGAGGGAACATACATTGGACAGGTTGTATGCTTTTTGCTTTGTGGAGCTGACCATTCTCTCTGAGGGAGGTGCTGCTATCTTTGAAAATGCAACCACTGCTGTTGTATTTTAAATTTCCGAGACTGCTGGGATGGTAGCACCCTTAGAGCAGGGAGACAGATGCTGGCCTTGGCTCCCTGTCATAGATGACAAGACTGCAGCACTGCCCTGCTCTGCTAGTAGTTTTGCTCACAGGTGAAATGAGAGAGATATCTTCTGTATACAAATACTTTGGGGCTGGGCTGGGTGGAAGCTGGGAGCCAGGAACTCCATCCAGGTCTCCTACATGAGTGGCAGGGACTCAGTATTTGAATCATCATCTCAACCTCAGGGAACTACGGCTGTGAGCTGGGCCGGAATCAGGGTTGGGACTGACACAGAGTCTGATTGTCCCATGCAGCAGTTTAATCCTCTGGTGCCAGGACACTGGTCCTCACTCATGATTTCTACCTTTAAAGTCTCCTTGTTTAAAAAATTCTTCAAGGCCTGGATTGAGCTCTGAACTGTGCTTAATATACAAGCCAATGGAAAAAGAAATCTACTTGGCCTGTTTAGCACTTGTTTTCTGAGACAATCCTCTGGTGCTAACTCAGCAATTAATTTCCCATGGCTCTAACATCCCTTCTAATTGTGTCAGCTACATAGGCTTCTGGATCTGATGGTTCTGGTTCCATGAATTCAGCCAGCTGCTGATTGGGAATGTAAATAAGGCTCTTCTGTTATTGCTGTGTCTGAAACAACCCTGCCATCATTCCATTGACAACATGGCATAGATAATTATTGACATAGAATTTATACTGCATTATGTACAGGTAAAGTAGAGATGATATAGTGCACACAGGGGAGCATGTGTAGGACAAATGCAGGCAGGTGATACCAGGACATTTTGTACAAGGTATTTGTCGATCTGTGGACTTTGGCAACCTTGCCGGGGAGGGAGGACAGGATGTTCCCGAGCTCATCTCCTGGGGATATTGTGGGCTGACCACATATAAGTCTATTTTCATCCAAACAAGACCAATGGGTGTGGAGAGATTTAAGGCACTAATATGTATGTCAGTCACCAGGTGTTTATTGAGTACCTACTACACACTGAAAATGTGGATTTGGCCTTCAAGGGACTCACACTCCTGAAGGATAAACCAATAGATCAGGAGAAAATTAGGTGCAATCTGCTGAGTCCTCCATTAAAGGCATGACTGGTGTGCTGCGGGAGACAGAGCCAGGCTGTTACTGACTTTCCTGCGGAAGGGCCTTGGATGGAGATTGGACATCACTGGTTGCCACCTCCAAACCCATCTTCTACTCTTGGCAACTGGTCAGTGTGGATCACATCTCTGAACTGACTCTTGAGTCCTTCTGCTTACCTGATCAATACCTGTTCACTATTACATTCAAGTAACAACCCTGGCCTCTGGGAATACAATCATGAAAAAAGAAACTTGATTTTTGCCTCAAGAATACCACTCTTTTAAAAGACATTAGAAATGGTGACAGAGGGGTGGGCATTCAGTCCAGCGGCTGGGACACCGGCATCTCCTCTCAGAGAGCCTGGGTGTGACTTCTGGCTCCAGCCTCCCACTTATGCAGAGCTTGGAAGGCAGGTGGTGATTCAAGTGCCAGGGTCCTGAGTTGAGTGGCAGGCATTTGGAAAATGAATCAGCAGATGACAGCTCTGTCTGCTTCTTGAACAAAAATAGCTTAAATATATAAATAGTCACAGGAATATGGGACTGAAGAAATGTGTAATTATGAATGTTTCTGTCTGCCTCCACACAATTCATATATGGAAATCTTAACTCTGTTGTTTGTTTTATAAATATTTATTTGAAAGGCAGAATTGGAGAGAGGGAGAGTGAAGAAAAAGAGAGAAAGAGTTTGAGAGAGGAGAGAGATAAGTCTTCCATCCACTGGTTCACTCCTCAAATGACTGCAACAACCGAAGCTGGGCTTGTCAGAAGCCAGGAGACTCTGGGTGTCCCATGGGAGTGCAGAGGCTTAAGGAGTTAATTCATCTTCTGCTCTTTCCCAGGGATGTTCGCAGGGAGCTGGATCAGCAATGGTACTTCCAGGACTGGTGCCCATGTTACAGGCTAGTACTGTAGGGCCATGGCTTTACCTATTAAGCCACAGCACAGTTTCCCCAATTTTTATCTTTAGGAGATGGGGGTACTTTTGGAGGTTATTGGGTCATGGTATAGCCCTTGGGAATGACTTAAAAGCCTTGTAAAAGGCACCCCAGAGATTGCATAGTCCCTTACACCACCTGAAGACACAAATGCCAGTGATGTGTAAAATAAAAAGCAAGTCTAGCCACAACATGTGCAGAATCTGTTGATGCTTTGATTTTGGGTTTTCCAGCTTCCCAAACCATGAGCAATAGATTTCTGTTGCTTGTAAGCCAGCCAGTTTATTACTACAGCAGCCCACATAGTAACTGACAAGGACAGGTAGGCATGCAACTCTAGGGAATATCCCGGTTGTGGAAGCAGCTCTGGGACTGAGCAGACGCTCTCAGGTTTCTGGCTTGACATCCAAGCTAGAAGAAGTCAGTGATGCTTTAAAAAGATAAAGGAATAAGTGTTCATTGGTCTGTATGTTCTCAGACATGAAACAAGTCCTGTTTTCACTAGCTGTGTAGGTGGAGGCCGCCATAGCATTGAGCCCAACCTTGGCTCAGAGGCATCAGCAAGCTTGTGTCTGTACACTCCAGCCTGGACAAGAAGCACCTCCATTCTGGGGTGCAGGGTTGTTGCATTCTCTCCTCCTTTCCCGGGTGCCTGCTGTGCACACAGACCAGGCGCTCCAGCAACTCCAGCGACCATCTGCTTTGACTCCTGTGGAGAGAGTTTGCCAGAGAGGAGCAGATGAGTAGGTGACAAGCACAGGGAAGGCTGACAGGGAGGGCTGTGCATTGCCTAGAGCAGCTTGTCATCCCTTTTTGGGGAAATGCTTGGGGTAAACAAGCAAGATCCCTATACACACTGTCTCATAACTAATTTGAAACTCAGGATGCAGTGAGAATAGGCCCCTGGGAGCCCATCACTAAAATAGGGATCTATAGCTCCATGGAAGACAGATAACAGAGCAAGGCAGGAGGCCCAAACCTCTGAAAAATGGCACCCATGACACTCAAGTCACCAGAGAACACAAGAAGCAAGAAGCATAGCCCAGCTGTGGAAGCCATTTCCTGGGTAACAGACCCTCTGCAGAGCATGCCAGCACATGCATTGACCATGGGATGTCTAAAAACCCAGAGCAGAGCATTTCCTAGCCCAGGAAGGCTGCTGCATGCCTTCGGGTTAGCCTCTTTCCTTGATCAACCTGGCTTTTTAATATGAGAAAGACAGACTAGGGCAATAAGGTTTTTTTTTTTTTGGTCATTTTTATCACTTTTTTTTCTTAAATGAAATATTCCATGGGCCCCCAACAGCTATGTCAAATGGAAGTAGAACTGTTCTATTTGAAGTCAGGGTGTCTATCAGGCTCACCCTCCTCCTCTGGGCAGCCCCTGGGACCCCACAACTCCTCAGATCACAGTGTGAATACCATAGAGTTAGATTATCTGCAAATTCCCTCCAGCTCTGTAATTATACTCCCTGATGGCACAGCCACAGCAGGCTTCTCTGTCTATTTCTCTCACCACTGTGACTTACTTACCACAGGCAAAGATTTACTGGGAACATTCCTTGAGGGTCTAAGGGGTCTTCAGAAAGGCTGACCTTTGCCTTAGGTTTCCTTGCCAGCCCAATAGCTATTAGGCTAAAGGTTCACTATGATACCTCCAAGATCTCCTAATGTCCCTATTTGAAACAGGCTAACGGTGTGTCATGAAGTGTCTGCACGTCATTGGATGGAAAACATGCTAATGGCAGCCATCTTCCTAAATCACTGGCCTCATGAATCCTTTTCCACTGCCCACTGTGTGTAACAAGATTTACAGTGACTGCCCCCGAGCCTGGCACACTTCACTAAGATGCATGCCTAAATGACTGCTAGTCCTTTTCTTGTCTACATGCTGTGGGACAGGGATCCAAGAAGTCACTGGCTCTGAGGCCTCACGGAAATCTGTGTAATTACTCACACAAGGGGCATATCTGTCCCCTTTGATCAAGGTCAAGCTGAGAACCATAATCTGGCACATACACTCCACTTTCCCCAAGTAGTACTTGCTCAATGTTCTCAGAACCTCTACTGCTGTTTTGCGGGTGCTTGGACATGAAAGATTAGAGTATAGAGTTATGTGTTTAGCTTCTGGCATCAGGTTGCCTGGGTCCCATCTTGGCTTTTTCATTCCTCAGCTATATGACTTTAAATTAGTCATATAACTTGCTTGTGTTCCAGTTTCCTCATCTGTACATTGGGGTTATTGATAGTATTTCTGTACTGAGGTTCTTGAGGAAATAAGCAAGTTCATAAACGTATTGTTGCTGTAAGAGCTGGTACAGGACATGGCTATTTACCGTTTCTGATCTTTGACTTGGGGTCACTTTCAGAAACCTGATTGACATTCAGGAAATCCCTGGGCCCTAGTTCTGGATGTATTCACCATGAATCATTTTCTTTCTGCCTCCCAACTCACTCATCAACAAACTGTGCCTTGGCCAATTCACAAAAGACTGTGTGCTGCAATGGTCTTCATAGTTACTGTCCTTGGCTTTTACTCTCTGCCTCCTGTTTCATCAAGACTTAAGCATTCACTCATGCTCTTGGCTGCTCCCTTTCAGACTTCCTTATACAGGAAACCAGGTAGTTTTTGGAGACACAGATTGGCAACAATTCTGTCAGCGAAAAAGGGATTTTTAAAAAGGTGCCAATCCAGGACAGATTTCCTACCAGTGAACATCTGGCATGAAGCTGACTTTTTCCTTCTGGTTATTATATTAGAGCATGCCATATCTGTTAACTGACTTAATCCTTAATATGACCTGTGTGGAAATTCTCAAAAATAATTTCGCTTTGTAGGGAAAGCCGTGATGAATGTCAGCAGCACTTTGATTAAAGGCTTGTCGGACCCCAGATCCATGCTCTCATGTCCTCTATTTAGAACTACATTCCCAAGAAGAAAATAATAACCGTTCATTATCTCATGTAGAAACTAGCGGTGGTGGCTAGAGATTTGCGTTGAGTCTTGGAGACATTGGTATGGGTAGCTTGCTCCAAACTCAGATGATTTTAAGATTTTCATATTCAGGGACCAGCATGATAGCGTAGCAGTTAAAAGTCTTGTCTTGCACGCACCAGGATCCCATATGGGTGCCGGTTCTAATCCTGCCAGCCCCGCTTCTCATCCAGCTCCCTGTTTGTGGCCTGGGAAAGCAATCTAGGATGGCCCAAAGCCTTGGGACTCTGCACACACGTGGGAGACCTGAAAGAAGCTCTGGGATCCTGGCTTCGGACTGACTTAGTTCTGGCTGTTGCAGCCACTTGGGAAGTGAATCATTGGACAGATCTTCCTCTCTGTCTCTACTCCTCTCTGTGTATCTGCCTTTCCAATATAAATGAATAAAATCTTTTTTTAAGATTTATTTTATTTTTGTCACAAAGTATACAGAGAGGAGTAGAGACAGAGAGGAAGATCTTGGGTCCGATGATTCACTCCTCAAGCTACTGCAACTGCCAGTGCTGTGCTGATCTGAAGCTAGGAGCCAGGAACTTCCTCCAGGTCTCCCACCAGGGTGCAGGGTCACAAGGCTTTGGGCTGTCCTCGACTGCTTTCCCAGGCCACAAGCAGGGAGCATGATGGGAAGTGGGGCTGGCAGGATTAGAACCAGCGCCCATATGGGATCCTGACACATTCAAGGTGAGGACTTTAGCTGCTAGGCCACAGTGCCAGGCCCCCCAAAAAATCTTAAAAAAAAAAAAGTAAAGTAAAAAAAAAGATTTTCATATTCAAACTACCAACAGTTCATCACGTTGTCATTCTTGCTGTAGGCCAGAGGTTCTGATGTTCTGGGGATACAAGGAACCTTGGGTCCAAACTTCTCAACAATTTCTTAGACAAATGAATTTCTCTAAAAGCCACTTCTGATAAGTAATTATTCATACTCCTCCCTCACCCCATACATTTCACAGTGTGTGTTTTTGAATGTCATTCCTCATCAAACCAAAATCTCTTGGCTAATAAGCTCCCTTTGATAGTCCTACAATTTAATCTCAATGCCACACAAAGCAAGATTTCGAGTTTCCAATATTTAAAGATCTTCCTTCTAAAGCATACATTTGAGTTTAACTCTCTTTGGTTGCTTTGTCAATGTGTAATGAGGAGTGGCAACGTCCTAAACCAAGCTTCTGGCACATCGTAAAAGAACGTTGTTCTAGCCTCTTTAGTTCTGTTCACCCAGCCTTTTAATGGGGGCATCTGCATCATGCTGTTGATGTGCACTGAGGGAAGTGGGCCTGAGTGCCTGGTTTATTTATACACAGAAATAAAACCTCATGACTCTCACTCCACCTACTCTGTACTTTTGGAGTTTTGCTTCATTAATTCATATGTCAAAGCTTAGCTTCTTTACATTTTTCCTCAATATAGTAGCCAACCAAAGCCAATGTATGCATTGATTTGACAATCCATGTGTTTTCTGTCACTCCATGTATCATATAACTAGTTTTGTAGCCTTAGAACATTTTAACCTTAGTAATTAGGAAGGTATGTATATTTCTAAAACTCAAAGGAAACTTAATGAAAAAGAGAAGATCCATAATTATTCAAGGTGAATTAGTGAAATAGCTAGAAATCGCATGTAGGTCACAGAGCGTCTTCATTTTTAAGAAATAGTTTAAACCCTTGTTTCTTCACTAACATCATCAACATCTAAGCAACCTTGTTTTTAGCCATAACTCTTTATGCTATAGTGACAACGTCTTATCTCTTGTGTTGGGTTGGATTCTGTTCCTCATGGAGATATGCTCATATCCTAGCCCCCATCTCCTTATCGATCTGAAAATTGGGTCTGTAAAGATGAAGATGCATTAAGTTTAAGTTATACCAGACTAGGACAGGCCCTAATCCAATTACTTGTGTTCTTAGCACAAGAGAGACAGAGACACAAAGGAATGGATGACATGTATAGAGGAAGGTAGAGACTGGAGCGATACATTAACAAGCCTAAGAATGCCCAGGGTGTTTAGACACCACCAGGGCTAGGAGAGGGGCTCAGGGTTACTTTCTTTCTCATAGTCCACAGAAGAAATGAACATAGACAATACACTTGGGCTTCAAGATTCCATACAATAAGTTTCTGAGTTTTCAGCCACCTAGTTTATAAAAAACCAGTTTATAACCAAGAAACAGATATTATTATCTAAATACTCTTTCTCACATCCAAATAGGGTCTTCATAGGGAGCAAAGCCAAAGAATGTTCAACATGATAGTCAGGTCAATGATAGAACTCAAGAGTGTGGGTAAATGTAAGTGCCAAGAAAGTAGGTCCTGAACACCCAAAGTTCCTTTCTGTTCTGACTTCTTTGAGCTACCACTGGCTGGAATAAAGTGGGGAGCCCTGGGCCTTACCTTTTTGCTCCGTTTGCTCACAGGCATAGCCCTTGCGGCCATTGCTGCACTGACACCTGCAGCTGGTGCCCTCAAGAATGGGCTCCCCATTGTTGAAGCAGGGCCCACAGCGGCAGGCATTGAATTCCATCAGGTACTGGTCTAAGGCCCGGCGCAGGTTCTGGCGCTTGGCTTCCATGCGTCCCAGGTTTGTGTGCTGCAGAACTTCATAGATGGGCTGCATCTGAAGGCATAAAAATAACACAGGGTCCCTCCCTGAGCTCTGTCCTCCCACCCAGAATCCACAAACTGAAAACCAGGCTTCTGACTCACCCGCTACATGTCAGGTGAAGAGGCAAATGCTGAAGTCTATTCTAGGGCTCAGTGCGGTAGCCTAGCAGCTAAAGTTCTCACCTCACACATGCCAGGATCCCATATGGGTTTTGGTTCTAATATCGGTGGCCCTGCTTCCCATTCAGCTCCCTGCTTGTGGTCTGGGAAAGCAGTCAAGAACAGCCCAAAGCTTTGTGACTCTGCATCCACCCAGGAGACCTGGTAGAAGCTCTGGGCTCCTGGCTTCGGATTGGTTCAGCTTCAGCCATTGTGGCCACTTGAAGAATGAATCATCGGACAGAAGATCTTCCTCTCTGTCTCCTCTGACTTTGCAATAAAAATAAGTAAATCTTTTTTTTTTTTTTTAGAAAAAAAGTCTATTCTATTATCATAGACCCTTGCTTCTGCCCCTTGGCATCATTTTGCTTCACCTTAGTTAGCTTTTTGTTGGAGAGAGCTGCCACATGCATTGATGAAGGCTTAGCAACATTCCTGGTCTCTCTGCATAAACTATAATAAACCACTCACCAACATTACAAAAAAAAAAAAAAAAGATTGCCAAGGTACATTTTGTCCACAATATGCATTATTGCCTCGAACTGACAAGTACATATGTTGATATAGTAGGAAGCATATTCAATTTGGAGGAAGAAAACCTAGCTTCCAGTCCTAGCTCTACTAATTCCAGCTCTTCATGGTCTTAGACACACAACACCCTGAGCTTTGCTGTCCATATAGTGGGAATGACCACCTACCCTCTGGCTTTGCTGTGAGCAGCAAAGGAGATGATGCATAATCAAATCTGCCACATCAGAAAGCGCTTCTGGAAGCTTGTAGACAATGGAACTCAGAGGTCTATTTTGGTATTAACATTTTTAAATTATGTGCAGAGGAGGGGTCTTCCAAAATGTCATGGAAAATATAGATTCTGAAAATGTCATGCAGGGTCCCAGTACGGTGGCCTGATGGCTAAAGTCCTCACTTGACACATGCTAGGATACCATCAGGGTACCAATTCTAATCCTGGCAGCACTGCTTCCCATTTAGCTCACTCTGCCCTGAGAAAGCAGTTGAGGATAGCCTTTGAACCCTGCACCAACATGGGAGACCCAGAAGAAGCTCCTGGCTTTGGATCGGCTCAGCTCTGGCCGTTGCGCTCACTTGGGGAGTGAATCAGAGGATGGAAGATCTTCCTCTCTGTCTCTCCTCTTCTCTTTATATATGACTGCCCCCAAAATAAATAAGTTCTTTTTAAAAAAATCATAAAAAGCTATGAAAAGATTCTGCATGTTTTGTTGTTTTATTGGTCTTTTTTGGTATCACAACGCATTTATCTTTTAATTCTATTTTTACATGAATTTTTAGAAGTCCCTTCTTTGTAAAAGCTAAATGAATACCTCTCACTGACTAGCTACGGCCAAAGTTTCTGAGCGACCCCTTCAGCCTGGACTTCTTGACATGAAACATGGGGCCAGAACTTACTTCTTATCAGGCTCTAAGTAATAAACGTAAGATACCTCTGTGAAAGAGAACAGTAACATAAAGCAAAGCATCATGTTAACTAGTTGAATGTGAAGGTAATAATACAAAAACCTGTTCTTTTTCTTCAAATTGCATGCACATTTTGCTATCATCTCCACGGTTGCAACTTTGTATAGTTTAAGGGAATCCTAAATGAAAACTTGTCTCCAGGTCTCTATTTTTACAGAAAAAAAGCTTAAGGCCTTAGAGGAGGAAATGAGATGCCAAGGACATTGGCCAAGCCACAAAGGACTGAATCATACTGAGGCACTCTCAACTTCTTTGGAAACCAAGCTAACAGAGTGCATTTGTCTGTGTTCCTGGAAATGTGTACAGAACAACCTGTGGCAAACAGACATTGGCCTATGGTCAGGGCTGTGGCTGAGGTCATCACCCAAGTGGTGTCAGCACTCATCAGGACCCCAGCCAAGGTTAGAAGCTGATTTACTGGAAGCTCAGGGATTTGGGACACCCTGTGTCCCCAAGGATGATGTGTAGTTCCAATAAAGGCCAGGATCCTTGAACAACTTCCCTTCTCACTCTTCTCCTTCTCAGGTCCTGCAGAAGAAAGAAAAAGGAAGTGCTCCCCGAGGAGGGCTCGTGAAACCTACGCTAGAGGACACAAGTGGAGAAAAAGCTTCTTAGATGTCAGAGCTTGTGAGAACCTTCACAATTTTGTCTCCATTTTACAGAGCAGAAAGCAGATTCAGAGAAGGAAAGAAATGCAATGTGACAATGCAATTTAAGAGAACACATTGCATATGTTGATGCATCACATAACACATTGTAGCAACATAACACAACATAGCAGGGTAACATGAAATGTAACTTACTTTACTGTCCACCTGGCTAAGGGTATATGTTGGTTGCATAGAGGAGTGTTGCCTGTGGATGTTATAGACATTGGTCACAATAAGAGGTTATGGCGGAATTTTGTTTAAAGTTTTGGCTGGAAGAGAAGAGAAGAGAAGTAGAAGAACAAGGGAAGGAAGGAAGAAAAAATAGAGATAAAGAAGGAAAGAAGAAAGAAAAAAGGAAGAAGAAGAGAAAAAACAGAAAAGAAGAAGAAGAGAAGGAGCAAAGAAGAGAAAAAAAGAAAAGAAAAAAAAGAAAAAAGAAAAGAAAGGAAGAAAGGAAAGAAAAGAAAAAAGGAGGGGGAGGAAGGAAAGAGAAAAAGAAATAAAAAAGAGAAGAAAGGAAAAGAAAAGAGAAGAAGAAAAGAAAAAGAAAGAAGAGAAGAAGAAAGATAAAGAAGAAAGAAAAGAAGAGAAGGAAGTAAGAAAGAAGAGAAGAGAAGAAGAAAAAGAAAAAGAAAAAATAGAGAAGGAAAGGGGCAAAAGGAAAAAAAGACAAAAAAAAAAAAAAACGAGGGGGGAGAAGAAGAGATAAAAAAGGAAAGAATTAAGAAAAGAAAAAAAAAAAGAAGAAAAAAAGAAAAAAGAAAGAGAAGAAGAGAAGAAGGGGGGGGGGAAAGAAGAAGAGAGCGAAGAGAAGAGAAGGCAGGTTTTTTTTCGGAAAAGGAAAAGAGAAGAGACGAGGAAGAAGAGTAGAAGAGAAAGAGAAGGAAGCGAAGGAGAAGAGAATTTACAAAAGAAGCACCGAACGAGCCGAGCAGACAGGGAGAAGAAAGAGAAGAGAAGATAACATGACCAAAGGGACACAACGAGAAGAAAGTAAGGAAAAAAGAGAAAAGAGAAAGAGAAGGAAAAAGAATAGAAGAGAGAAAAAAAAGAAAAAAGTAGAAAACATCCGAAGAAAAAAGAAAAGAAAAAAAAAAAAAGAAAAAAGAAAAAGAAGAGAAGAGAGAAGAGAAAAGAAATAAAAGAGAAGAAAAGAAGCGAAGAGCAGAGAAGAAAGAAGAGAAGAGGAAGATAAAGAAGAGGAAAAAAAGAAAAAAAAAGAAAGAAGTAAAAAAGAAGAAAAGAAGACGAGAAGTTAAAAAGAAGAGAGAAGTGAAGAGAAAAAGGAAAAAAGAAAGAGAAAGAATAAAGAGAAAGACAATAAAAAAAGAGAAGCACACGCACGAAACAGAAGATAAAAGAAACAGCAAGGCACGCGAATCAACGCAAGAAACAGCAAACCCGAGCAGACGGTGAAACGAAATGAGAAGAGAAAGAGAAGAGAAGAGGAAGAGAGCGAAGAGAAGATAGCGACGAGAATACCACGAGACGCAGAGAAGCGAAGAGGAGAGAAGAGCCGCGAAGAGGCGCGCCGCGCAGGACGCGAATCGACAGGAAGAGCAAGAGCGACCGCCCGCACCAAGAAACCAGACCCCCAAACCAAGCCTACCTCTCCCCTCCTCCCCCTCTCTCCCTCCTTCCTCTCCTCTCCTCTCCTCTCCTCTCCTCCCTCTCCTTCCTCTCCTCTCCTCTCACTCTCTCCTCCCCTCCCCATCCTCTCCTCCCTCTCCCCTCCACCCCCTCTCCTACCTCCTCTACTCTCCCTCCTCTCTCCTCCCCTCCCTACCCCTCCTCTCCTCTCTCTCCCCTCCACCCACTCTCCTCCCCTCCTCTCCTCTCCTCTCCTGCCTCTCCTCTCTCCTCCCCTACCCTCCCCATCCTCTCCTCTCCTCTCCCCTCCAACCCCCTCTCCTCCCTCCTCTCCTCTCCTCTCTCTTGCCTATCCTCTCCTCTCCTCTCTCTCCTCTCTCTATTCCTCCCATCCCTACCCCTCCTCTCCTCTCCCTCCACCCCTTCTCATCATCCTCTCCTCTCCTCTCTCTTCTTCCTCTCTCTCACCTTCCCCTTCCCCTCCTCTCCTCTTCCTCTCCTCCTACCACCCCCTCTCCTCCCTCCCTCCTTCCTCTCCCTCTCCCTCCCTTCTCTTCCTTTCTCCTCTCCCCCCTCCCCTCACCTCCCCCTTCCCTTCTCCTCTCCTCTCCCCTCCTCTCCCCTCCTCTCCTCTCTTCTCCCCTCCACTCCTCTCCTCTCCTTTCCTCTCCCCTCCCCTCTCCCCTCCCCTCCCCTCCCCCCACTCCTCTCTCTTCCTCTGCCTTCTTCTCTTCTCTTCTCTTCTCTTCTCTTCATATTTCTCTTCTCTTCTCTTCTCTTCTCTTTTCTTCTTTTCTCTCCTTTCCCCTCTCTCCCTTCCCCTCTGCTCCTCTCCCCTTCCCTCCCTTCCCCTTCCTTTCTCTTTTCCCCTCTCCTTCCCTCCCCTTCTCTTCCCTCATCCTTTCCTCTCTTTTCCTCATCCTTTCTCTTTATTTCTCTCTGCCCTTCTGACTCCCCACCTTTGATTCTTCTTGCATTCACAGCTTCCTTAAAGTACTTCTTAAATCACATTATTTCTCTGCTCTTTTATTTGTTATTCATTTTTAAATATTTATTTATTTTTATTTGAAAGGCAGATTTTACAGAGAGAGAAGGAGAAACAAAAATAGAGGTCATTACTCCATTGGTTCACTCCCTAAATGGCCATAATGATTTGAGCTAAACTGATCTGAAACCAGAGGCCAGGAGCTTACTCTGGGTCTCTCACATGTGTGCAGGGACCCAAGTCATCCTCTGTTGCTTTCTCAGGTCATAACAGGGAGCTGGATGGAAAATGGAGCAGCTGGGACACAAACTGGTGTCTATAGGGGATACCAGCACGTGCAGACAGGATTAGCTTGCTATGCCACTGAGCTGGCACCTGTTTCCCTACTGTATCTTCTGATAGTGGCTTAGTGCAAAGTTTTGGTGGGCAGCCTCTGCTCCTCAGCTGTGGAGATGGTGGTTGTTCATGTCTGTGAGACACTAGCTCAAATCGGACTGCCATTTCTCAGTTTTTAGATCTTGAGCTGAATCTCTGTGAACTGAATCTCTGTGAACTGATTTCTGTTAGGCACTCTTGCCTCTCTGTAACTTAATAACACATCGTCCTCATGATCAGAGAGGGATGTACTTCGGCCAAGGTCAAACATTGGAAAAGCATCTGGACCATGATACAAGCTCTCTCCCCAATCCCCAGAAAGCCTAACCTCTACTCCCCAAAGGCTATCTTAGTCTTCTCCAACTCATGAAACTCGAGTTTCCCTTGACAATGTTGCTCAAGCAAAGACAAAGTTCACCTCTTGCCTTTGAAAGTTTATATATTACTCCTGATATCAATTTTACAGTTTTGCCAAATCACTAATAGCGTGATGATAGCAATTTTCAGACCCTATGTGAATTATGGGTGCGTGAAAATGATGCCTTACTTGCTGGAGAAGGAATGAAATCAAGGTCAATCCTTCTGACCTCATTCTTCATAGAAAGCATGATGTTCAAATAGATTTTTAGTTTAACTGTTAGTATATGTTTCAAGTGGAGCAGTGTGCCCAAATCAAGAATTGAAAATATTTTCAGAAAAGTGGGCAAAGTTAGGGCTACAATGTGAAAAAGTCTAAAATGCAACCTTTAAAAATTATATACTGCCCTGCACATTGACAATAGTTTGACAATTGCTAGAAAAAAGAAATATTTCTTTTGCAATTGGCCTTATTTTTTTTGTGAGATTTGGAATGTAAAGCAAATTTTCTCAACTTCTCAGTGCTGTCAATACATAGGACCAGGTGTGTCTTTGTTTTCTATACTTTGTAAGATGTTTAGCAGTATCCTGGGTTCCACCCTTGGGAAGATAGTAGCAATTCCTTTATCCTGATATAGATTGAGACAGTGAACATCTCTGAACATTGCCAAATATTCCATGGGGAGCAAAATCACCCAGTGGTTGAGAATCACATCTTTAAGAGAGGAGCTAGGATAAAACAAAACTCAGATACAAACAACAAAGGTCCGAGATTCAGGCAGTACCCTATAGGAGCTCTGTGGCCTTACAAACATCCATGTGCTGTCTCAGACCCTTAGTGACCTGATCTCCTCAGTGAGCAAAAGCATCCCCAGCCAGCAATTTATGCCAATGATGAGATAAGATCATTTGAAATAGAGACTATAAAGTGCACCCACGGTCCAAGTCCAACTCACAGCAAATTGTTGTGTGAACATTGAGTTAAGAAGGATTTTTACATTTTTGAAGAGAAGGGGCAGGAAAGGAGGTGAGGCAATAATACAAGAAGAGATGCAAGTGGAGGAGAGAGAAGAGATGTGGGAGGACACTCCGTATGAGCCTGAGGCTGTGTGCGAGCCACAAAGTCTAGAATATTTACTACTGGGTTTTCTAAAGAAAAGTGTGCCAGGTGTAATTTTTAAACTCATCTGTGTATAAACTACTATCAGCTTAACATGGCTGAACCCTGAAGAATTTCTGGGATCAGCCATGCAAGCCAAGGTACTGACCAGATATAAGTTTTTAACCCTAGCTCCCCTAAGGTTTAGGTCTGAAGTCCTGCACTCCCCCTAGTCAGGCTGGAGCAAGGTCATCAGGTCAGTGTGCCGTTACATTTAATCTTGTTCTTTGATGGGCTCATAATAAGAAATATGAAATGATCTGGTCCACTTCACTTTCATTCCTCATGGACGTGGAGTTTCTTCAACTGCGAAAAGACTTACCTCAAAATCGATAACAGCAGGATTATACTTTAATGACCTCCCCCAGAATCTGTATGTGATAGTGCTGCTGTTTTGTGCCAAGCCTCCGCCCCAGCCAGAACTGCCACCTTGCACCCGGAAAATGATGTCTTCTACGGCCAGGCTTATATTTTCTGTTTCTGAAATCAGAAGGATAGCCACATTAGCTCATGTCCCAGAAAAGTCCTGTAACTCCTTCATATGCCCACCGAGAGATTTGGATCACAATTAATCTGATCGTCTTAGAGCAGGTTCCCATTCTGCTTCTGCTCTGTCTAGCAGGAGGAGTCAGAAGACAGGACCAGCCCTCTACAGCACAGCAAACACCAAGAGGATAGTACCCCCAACATGGAACATCAGGTATTTATTCAGTGCTTGCTAAGGGCCAAAGAGGTTCAACCAAATATGCAGGGGTACTATGACATATAGGGTTTAGTAGGGATATAAAGTTTAGTAGGCATATCTAACCACAAAGAGACGTGGTTAGATATTCCGTGAGGGGAAGGAAGAATCAGGAAAAAAAGTTTAATTCCTCAAAAAGCGGATATTTATTAGGTAAACAGAGATAGGATGGAAGGAGAGGAAATAATTTAAGTTAAAATTCTGAGGCCTGAGTAACCCAGTACAATGGGAATAACTTGAACCTGTTTATTAACAGTTCATGCTTTGCTCTATAAACTGTTCCATCAGTTCATCATCCCTATATCTTCTGTGTCTTCTACCCAGGGGAAAAAATGTCCAATGTGTGTTTGAAGAAAGAATGAATGAGTGGATGAATCATGAACACTTGTAACACCCTTGTTCAGGAAATGAAACAAGACCTTTTTCGGATAATGTTCTCTAAGCCTTGACTATATAATCATGTCCTGCTTTCCCAGAGGTCTGGTTCCCTCTGACTGAGTTATGATCCCATGAGCCTTCAATCCAACAACCCATTTTCCAGATTCTTTCTACATATTCTTTTCAACCAGTTCTTCCCTGGATCTTTGCTAGTACCTGAAATACAGGAGGATGCCTTTTCAAAGTAAAATATCCATCCATAAATAAAAAAAAAAAACAGGATTATTCTACTAAGTCAATTGGTTGGGGAATGTAACATCCATGCAATTCCATTCTTAAATGGAAATTGGTTGATGAAGGAGAAATAGCTTCCTTGTCCTGATTATGTGTCCAGAGGAAAAGTCTGGTTTCTTTTTGCACGAGATCCATTGCTAAACACTTGCCTTTGTTACCACTTCCAGATCTCTTGCAATCCTTTATTTGTAAACTTCCTCCAATGATCAAAAAGTGTAATCCAACCATGCCGCCAAAGCATTTATTGACATCTTCAGTGGTAATACCTGCAGTAGCAAACAGAAAATACGGTAACATTCCAAAAAGAGTCGATGTGGTACAACCGTAACATGATTATAAAGCTAACTTATTTTACAGTCTAAGAGGTCTGGTTGAAATTTCACTATTCAACCAAATTTCTGTTTCCCTTTTGAATGGTTCCAGCTCTAAAATTTCTGGAAGTGAGAAGAGATATTTTTGGTTTACATCAATTGTTTGAAAGTTTCCATCCCTTACTTTGCTCATTTTCTACTCAGCTTCATTCAGACATGATTCTTTAATCTGTGCCCGTATTTCCCTGTGCCTAGCATAGTACCTGGCCCATTATGAAAACTAGTTACAGTCTTCAGTTTTGTACATGTTGCCTACAAATTGCCTTCATTGCTTCCTTTCCACTATCTTTCCAAAATCTACTCATGCTCCTGTTTGATGGTCACTGGCAGTTTTAAAAATCTTAACAATTCTAGTTTTCTTCAGACACACCAGTGCTCTATGCTTATCCTGCTCACCACAGCCTTTTTGTGGACAGGTCTTCTTTGCATCCAAGAGAGGCCAGAATCCTGCTAGAAAATGGATATACCTATAGTTTTCAGATGAGAAAGTAATTCTCAGAAGAAAGAAATCTATTTTTCCTGATCACACAGCCTATAAATGAAGAGAGCTGGGTTTCTAAATGTAAGTTTGTCTCACAAGACAAGGCTAGATAAACAAACTGAAGTGAAATATTGACCATGCTTATGGAGTTCAACAATCTGTAACTAACACAGTGTTCAGAAAGTTGCGAGCTAATGTTTGCAAATTAAAACCTTAGTTATTTAAACGACAGCCATAAAAGAATTGTTGTTATTATTATCGAATAATACTGGCAGTTACAAAGTAAAAATAATTTAGGCCCATCATCCAACTGAGATAAGGATTAGAGTCAGTATTTTCAAGGAGACACTGAGTACCCAAGTTGACTTTGGCATGTGAAGAATGTGTATTTCATTCTCTCTTGCCTCACCAACATAGTAGCTCCATGTCTGTCATGGTGTAGGAGTTCAGTAAGTATTCAGAATAAATGATACTAGAAAAAAGAAACTAATAAATGAATGGCATGCCAACTTTGATAAGGGCTTATGATGGAAGGTATCTTAAAACTTCGCATCTCAGTTATCGATACCAAGTGTAAGGTATCATGATCCTACTGGATCTTGATTTTACATTAACAGGCAGAGGAGGTTGTCATCTCCAGAGTCCTTTTCAGTTGTACCACTACGTGGCTCTACAGCTGCAAATTCTGAATAATTGCAGTGCAGAGAGCACCTAAGGGAAGTGATGATCTCAGCATTGGCACTCAACACCAAGCAAAAGGGGTTTCTGCCATTTCTAGTCAAGCACTGGTGAATTTTAAAGACTTACTAATTGAGGAGAATTTCACATATTTAATTGTTTTTATTTCTAAAAAAGTGTTTCAATAGAGATAAAGAAAAGTTGACAAAAACAATTCATGGGCAGGAAGCAGTCAGAATAATTATGTAGGTGCATGGTGGCGTGCTACCAGATTCCACCGACAGGACTGGCTGATTAATGGGGGCTGGAGGATGCCTGCAAAGTGATTATGCTCATGAAAGATCTGCTGACAGCCTACCATGTGCTGTTGAGAGAAGAAAATGCTGGTATGATTTGAGCAGTACAACTTGAGTGCAAAGAATTTACTTCTAAGGTTCCCAAAGTAGGATACCAGCCAGTAAGGGAAGATCTGTGGTTTAGGCAGAATTGCAGAAAGTTTTTAAATACTGGGCTGACATTCCTCATTTACAGTTGAATCACCTGAGATTCATGAAGGTTAATCATTTTGCCTAAAGCTACATAACTAAGAAATAGTGAAACCAAGAATCACTTTCAAGTCTCACTTTTAAGCCTGCATTATTTACAATCAATCAGTGATTGCATCAGGTAAGGAGTTTTTCTGAGAAATAAGTTTGCTAACTACCTACTGCATACCTCCCAGAACACATCTTGTGTTGTGTTGCCAATGAGGATAACTTCAGAATAAATCAAGTATGAACTTGATGTGAACCCGAATAAATAAACTCTTGGGAAATTTGTAGGTTTAGGACAATATGTGAAACAAAGCCTAATTTTCATCTTGGGAGGTACTTGCCTAAGTAAACGGGACAGAGATACCACGTCAGAGGCTGTGGGAGATGCCAAATCAGAGCTGTCCAGTGAGTGCCCATGGGAATCCAAGACCAGTCATCTAGCGTGGAGGTATAGGAGGCCAAACCTGGTAACAAACTCCAGGAGTCCAAACTGGTAAAAATCCAGGACACAGAAGCAAAAAGATGAGAGCAAGGAGTAGGGATTGTGGTTGAAGGATTAGAGAAATGTCTAGAACCATTCTGTACAATTTTCCTGTTGGATGTGTAGCATGGGCAATTTGGCCACAACCAAAATATCAGGTAATATTCTGCTGTTATATTCATCACATCATCTCAAGGTATACTTCTTAGATGCAGGTTTATTTTGGGGACTTCAACATAGTGAAGTATGGAATTGATTATTTCCTAAGATAGCTGTGTGTTGAGATAATCCAGAGTACTTATTTAAAACTACAGGTTCTTGCCCCCTCACCATCAATTTCAATTCTCTATTTCTTAGAAAACAGACATCTCTTTACTGCACAAGTGTCCCTAATGATACCCATGTGGTGGATCTGAAGATGATGTTCCAACAGAGAACCTCTAAAGGCTTTTCCATGCCCAGCATCTATCCTGTCCCGCCCCTGATATGCAGCAGTCAGGCTTATCATGTCACCCAAACTAAGAACCAGCAAAAGCCCTAGGTAATTCAGATAAGCAATGAGTTTCCAAAAACCCTCAGAAGGCAGCATGGGTATACACATCATGCACAGTAAAATGAGACTTCACTGAGTGACCTGTCAAATCCTATCTTGAAATCAGAATGCAAAGTATGCAAGCACAGTGAGGAAGAGACACAGCCGGGCAGTAGGACTAGGAGAAATGTAAGTCTGAACTCAGTGGGGCAACAAGGCCAGATGAAAACAGGTACAATGAAGGAAGTAAATACCTCACATTCTGATCCACAGATTAAAAAACCCAGAGGCTGGTTCAAAGTTCCTAAAACCACACTTTGAAAGGGAAATAAGACAAGAGAGTGTTCTTCCCTGGGCATTTTTTAGCCTTTTAAAAAGATGGGAATCTTGTAATACTTGGAATACGGATAAACACAGGGAACATTATGTGCCAGTGAAATATGCCAGTCACAGGACAAAGACTACATGGTTCCACTTACGTGAGAATTCTAAAATAGTCAAACTCATGCAGATAAAGAGCTGCATACTAGTTGCAAGAGGCCAGAGGAGTGGGAAAAGAGTCTATAACCGAAATGAACAGAGTCTCAATTAGGCAAGATGAATGAGCTCAAAAGATCTGCTGTGCAATATTAACCTTAGGGTACACTTAAATCACAAAAGGGGGCTCATTCTGTGCAAGATCTTTTATAGGAATAAAATTTTATCAAGTTTCTCCCACACAGCATGAGAAGGAAGAAATTCAAATGTGCAGACTGGCAGACAGAGTCAATTGGCTAATCCTCCTCGTACAAGCTCTGGGGTCCCTGATGGGCGCAGGTTCATGTCTCAGCTGCTCTACTTCCCATCTAGCTTCCCTGCTTAATGCATGCATGGTAAAGCAATGGAAGATGTCCCACAGCCTTGGGACCCTGCACCTATATGGGAGACCCGGAAAAAGCTACTGGCTCCTGGCTGTGGATTAGCTCAGTTCTGGCTATTGGGCCATTTGGGTTGTGAATCAACAGATGTAAGATATTTGTCTCTGTTTCTCCTTCTCTCTGTACATCTTCCTTTTTGATAATAAAAAAAAATAAATTCAAAGGTGAATCATTTGTGGGAAAGTTCAAGTGGAATTGGGCATTTTACCTGAAGAAGTGAGAGAGCTCTGTTTAATTAGGGGTGGGGAATGTTTTTCTTTCAAGGACCATGTGGTCACACATAACATTATTTGCAGGCCACACAAAGTTATCAACTTAAAAATGAGCATGTTGTAAATTTATTGAACTTTAAGTGCCTCCTGTGGTTGTCTGGGAAGGGCCAGAGCATATTACCTTACAGGACTTTTACTGTCCATGGATTGAGCATTTCCCAATGCTGCTAGTTGAGCAGAACTAAATCAAACTGTCCAGAAGTTCATCTTGAGGAAGATAAGATAGGTTTATTTTGTAGCTGCAGTTTTTTTTTAAAAGATTTATTTTTACTATGTTATTATTGGAAAGGCGGATATACAGAGAGGAGAGACAGAGAGGAAGATCTTCCGTCCCATGATTCACTCCCCAAGTGAGCGCAACGGCCGACACTATGCCAATCCGAAGCCAGGAGCCTCTTCCGGGTCTCCCACACGGGTGCAGGGTCCCAAAGCTTTGGGCTGTCCTCGACTGCTTTCCCGGGCCACAGGCAAGGAGCTGGAAGGAAAGTGGGGCTGCTGGGATAGAACTGGCGCCCATATGGGATCCCGGGCATGCAAGGCAAGGACTTTAACCACTGTGCCACCACGCCGGGCCCTGTAGCTGCAGTTTTAAGAGCTAGGAATTAAGACCAGAAGCTGCAGGAAGGAATTCGATTCAGCATAAGCAGATCACAATGATTCTCAAAGGCCAAAACGGCATGTTGTTTTAGAAGGTAATGAGTTCCCTGTTAGTAGAGGGAGGTTTCAAGCAGAGGATTGCTTGTTTGTTTATCAGGGTTAATAAAGAAGAATTTGAAAGGTAGAACAGATCAGGGGTCTTTTCAGGTCTACTGTAGTGTTGACTTGGTAAAATTTTAAGGACATGCCAGGATGATTTAAAAATATTTGAGACAACTTTGATAAGTTTCTAATGAGGTTTTACTGTTGGGAAGGCATCTGGGAAACAGATTCGAAGGGTGCTCAGCTGCCATAAGCTTCAAGTCAAGTGTGGGGAAGCAGACAAGGAAAAAAGACAATCATAC